TTTTTAAGAAGTTACAATAATAATCATTACATCTTTTCATTTGGATTCCGCAGCATATTTTCCCCCCTTGATTTTTAATAAGAGTTATCAGTATCTATATTACCCTATTTTCTAAATATTTTTAATTGCAGAAATATTCTTATTACCCCTTGTCACCCTGCAGAATCCCCTTTTTAATTCATCAACCATTATCTCTGAAAAAACAATTTCTTTTCAACCTTTCACTATCTCCGTATTTCTTTATTTCATGCACCTGTTTCTTACTGCTTCTCCTCCCCCTCTTTTCCCCATATCTTTTCTCATTCCAGTTTATATCCCTCTCTTTCTTAATATCTTCCTTTCCCCTTTTCTGCTGGGTCTTTCTGCCTTTCCTGACTTCACAGGTATTCCCCCTTTTGATTGCCTTCTTAAATCTCAACTTTTTAACCTTCCTTCTTTCCCCACTTCTTTGTAATGTTCTTTGTGTTAATTATCTATTTAAAATGTCTTCTCCTTGAGTTGACTCCTCCTCCTCTGAAGCTCTTTCTTCTTGTTCTTCAATCGCCATTTCCATTTTTTCTAACACAGCAAAGTGATTCGCCTCTTTGTAGTAATTCTCTCATATTTTTAAGTTCCATTTTTAATTCCCGAAGAGATATCATCATTACACACTCTTATATTTTATGATCGTTAAAGTCCACACACACACAAAAATACTTTTACTTTCCTTCTTTCTTCTTTCAATTTTCTAAAGTTCTCAGTTATTCCAACCCAGGGTCTATATCAAAAACATCAATCAATCCCACAGTCAGTCTTTCCTTGCTTTTTTCTTTATTCTGGTTCTGCTTTCACTTTTTAAGATTCTTACTTTGTTTCAATATTTCTTTAATGTTATATCCACACAAGTTCATTCAGAAACAGGATGCTTTCCCTTTTGTTTGGGCTCAAGTTTTTGTCAAAAGGTGGCGCTCTCCATTATACAAAGTCTTCACCTTTTCCCCCTATTTTTTATTTAGGGTTTTTCGAACCTCAATATTCCAGCACAATCCAGTCTCAAATTTGTAAACTTTATTATTATTATTTTTGACAGTCTTAAGTCCAGCTTTATTTTATGCCTGTTTATTCCCAAAATATTTTAGTCCAATTTAGTTAAATCTTTAGTTTCAGCTTCTTCCTTTCCCGGTTCTAAGCCCCGCTTAGCTGTCAAAAATATTTTCTTATTTTTTTTCCTGTCCCTTTGTAATTTCGCCGCTCACTTTTCTTTTCTTAAAAATTCCATGTTACCTTAATCCCGGGGTACTTTTGTTTAGTTGTATTGCCCAGTTGTCCCGGTTCAGATGTTATCCACCTCTTTCTTCCCTCCTGCACAAATCTTAATCCAGCTGAGTCCTCCTCTTCGGGGTGGCCATTTTAAACCACTGCTGCAGTCGTCTTCGGGGTGGGGGAAGACCAAGCCTAGAGGAGGAGATGTGGCTCCCCTCAACCTGGCTTGCGGCTTCCCCTTACTCCGCCGCCCCTCCAAGGCAGCTTCAGCCCCTAATCATAATGATTGGGGCTCTCCAACGAAAGAGCATGGACCATAGCCGCAGAGAGTCACGATCTACGGTCCGTCAGCGAGGAGGCTCCACCTTCTCGAATTTCTGATTCTTTTTTGGGATAGGAATAAATACAAAGAGAATACCTATGTACTTTTTTTGTTACTCAGAATAAGTGTTCCAGGGACTATACTCAAAGACTGAAGTCTGCATTCTTCTTTCTAGAGAGTAAATGTTATTGAGTTTAAATGACTGATTTGTGAGAAAATATGCTTAGAGTTGTATTTTTATTCTGATATGAGAGCAATATTGTCATGTGTTTACATTTGTTTAGTAAATACAGAATTCCTTAGCATTTTGGAACCTAATTGTTTTAATAGTGGGAAGCCATTAAATTCTGTATTTTATTTATTTATTTATTTTTATTCCACCCATTTCTCCTATAAGGTGATTCTGGAGGATATTCAGGTATCAAGGGATGCAGTGAAAGGCTAATGAATTCAATTCCGTGAGTTTTACTTTTTTTAAAAAAATCTATTTTGTTTTCTTTCAGTATGATCTGTCAGCCTCCACCTTTTCTCCAGATGGCAGAGTATTTCAAGTAGAGTATGCTATGAAAGCTGTTGAAAACAGCAGGTAAGATTTGAATTTTTATATTCTGCAATAATGTCACTTACGTTTGTGGATTCCATTAGTCCAAATAACTTAAATACTGGTTATTGGTATTTTTATTTCAATCTCAGAAACAAAATATAAAGAATGAAATTATGCTTGTAGCTAATTTACTGTAGAGGGAATTCAGTTAATATATCTAATTATTTCAAGAAAGCACCCTTGAAATATCAACCTTAAAGCCTAATAGAGAAGGCCTATTGAATTCCTTGCCTGAGATGACTGATGGACCCTGATGGAGTCCAAGAAGATCTTGAGATTTTCCCCAGGGATCAGTCACACACTTCACCAGGCCTTCGCTGCAGTCTGGAATAGGCATGTGACAAGGACTACCTGATTGCAGTCAGTTTTTTATTCAGTTTGCACAGCCACTCATTTCAACAAGTGACTCTGAGAAGTGAACAGTATTAAAATAAAAATAAGATGGTATTGTGATAGAACATCAAGAGTTGTTTTAGTACTTAAAACATTAACAATTCTGTACGTAGGCTATTGGTTTTACTATTGCATTTTTTTCGAACTTAAATGGAAGGAACATGGGCGCTCCAGAGTTTCACATATTTTTTTAAATACTGTATTGGTTATAAAATTGGTTTTTGATATATCTGCTTTTTATATAGCACCTCTTTATAGGGTTAATCCCATACTATACTATACTTGTGAAAATAATTTAAAATTTGATTTGTCCAGAAGAATTGCCGAGAAGCATTGCTTACTACTTAACCTGTAGCTGTGCATATTTTAAAACTAAAATGTTTTATTCAGTAATTAATTTTTCATTTGAGACTGTTTTGCTTAAATAAATTATTAAATCAACTCAGTATTTTAGATTTGGCTTTTAAAATTAAATAAATTCCTTTGAGGTGTTTTCTTTCTATTAGATTACTGAAGTATCCCTAGACACCACAGAATTAGAGTTTGAAAAGGCCATTTTGGCCATGCAGCTTAGCCTCTAAACTGTGTAGCAATACAAATCATATCAAATTAAATGCTATGAAGTGTATATTTAACCAATTATTATGCTTTATTTTCTCTTCAGTACAGCAATTGGGATAAGATGTAAAGATGGTGTTGTCTTTGGAGTAGAAAAATTAGTTTTATCCAAATTGTATGAGGAAGGATCCAATAAACGCTTGTTTAATGTTGATCGACATGTGGGAATGGTGAGTTGGTATTTACTTATTATTTAGCATGTGGCTAAATGCCAGCACCTAACTAATCTTGGCTGATATTAAAAAACTAGGCAGAGTTGAACTTGATTAGGAACTTCATGAGAGACTTAACCTATACCCCTTGGTTTCCTGATAGATTCAGACATTTTTTTAAAAAAATCCTTCTGTAAACTACTTCTGTACTAATGCCAAGAAAACAACATAGATATGTCCATGTAAGCACAAAAATACCAAGCTTAATTCACGCGACACTTAACTCAAGTTTTAACAGAAGCAACCCTATAATTAAACTGTGTCTTGGATAATCAACATGTAACTTTCAATTTGAAACCAGGAAGCAGCTGAGATTTCATCTTGTAGGGGCAGAAGTTCTGGTTTATCCAGTTCTCAAAACATGTGCCTGGCAATCACATTCCTGATATAAAGGATACTGTCAGAATGAGAGGTGTAAAGTTTGGCATGTTGAGTTTCAAATTCCTGTCTGCTTAGGTTGTGAAATGTGCTTCTGTGTTTCAGGCAGTAGCAGGACTCCTCGCAGATGCCCGATCTTTGGCTGACATAGCAAGAGAAGAAGCTTCTAACTTTAGATCCAACTACGGTTATAATATTCCATTAAAAGTAGGTTATGGTTTTATCAAAGCTACTTTTTATTAGAGCTAAGAAAAACCTAAGCCATATTAAATTGCTGAAATTTAGAAACTTTTAGTTACCCATGCTTTATTATGAATTATCAAACCAGGATAGCATCTAGCTCTATAGTAACTCTAATCTACAGTCAGATTTATAATCCATAGCTTGAAGTTATCTTGTTTTGTGATTCATTACAGCTAATTAAATTACAGTTTGTTATTCTAGATAGCATGAAATGTTGAACAAGGGAAAATAAAACCTTCTGAACCTACCCACCTGCATAGCACAGAGGGTAGGGCTGAGTGGGTGACCTTGTGACTCACCACTGTTCTTTCTGAAATACAAATTGAACTTATCTCAGTTTATTTTAAATGGAAATATTACTTTCAGTGCTCTAAAATTATTTTCCTTTCTTCCTATAGCATCTTGCAGATAGAGTGGCTATGTATGTACATGCCTATACTCTATATAGTGCTGTAAGACCTTTCGGCTGCAGGTATCAATTTTTCTTATATTATTGTTCATTAAAATATAATGGCATTAAAAAATTCAGAGCAAGTAATAAATCACAGTCTATTTCTCCTTAGCCCCTGAATGCTGATAGAAAGAATAAAGACATTCCCATAGATCTCATACTTGATTAAAGCTGGGAATATACTGCAAATAACATTTTTTTGGTTTTTATTTCGACTTCTGGCAATTACTTGGATTAGTTCCTGCAGTTTTCTTGGCAAGTTTTTTTTTTTTTAGAAATTGTTTGCCATTACCTCCTAGGACAGAGATGTGATTAGTCCAAGGTCATCCAACTGACTTTGTTGCTAAAGTCTACAATTCAGTCTTATTTCTAGCTTGATGCCTTAATCATTATACCAAATTGAATCTATAGGTTCACAATAACTATAGCAGCAACCAATATAATTATATATTCTTGGGCAATCAGATTAAGTAGAAAGAAAAGCTACAATCCATCTAAAATAGCAACAAGGAAGACACAGTTAGGGAGATAAACTGATACCAGTGGAGAATTTATTATATAAATAGTACATTCCCAATTCACCCAGGTAGATTTTTATTGAGAGAAATTATAGATTCCTATTTCAGTAAAAAAAAATTCTGTCTGTAAAAAGACACTCAAAATGGTATTTTAAAAATCAAACCTTCAAGAATGTTACTAAGTACTCAGTAACCAGGTTAACACGTAATATAAAATTTGCTCAAATAAGATTTATTGAATAAACCACAATTTATTTGATTCACAAATCCTAGATCATAGCAAGAGTATATTTCATAGCTAAATAGGCGAACCTTGTTGAAGAAGTGCAGAATAACTCCATTTCCAAATGCTCCATTCTGTCTAGATCATTATGGTTTGCCTTTTCCAAGGTTGTTTCTTGGTTCTCAGCCTCACCATTGTCTATCTTCAGGATGAAGGCCTCTTCCGCATACTTTCAACCAATATGTTCTCAACATACTCCTTATTTAACCCTATCTCATAGAACAATCCCAGGTGCCTCACAATAATAAATAAAAACACTACCTTTCTTTTAGCCATTAAGCAGTTCATATTCATGTTGTTAAAAAGAGGTCATATTTAAAGCAGAAAAACCTGACTATGAATAAATGTAGATAATTTTTTTTAAGAAGTAATGTACCAAATTGTACATATGGTCCTTGTAGTATTCTGCCACTATCCAGTTCAGGGGTGTGACTAAATTCTCCTTTTAATTTGGAAGGATAATATAAGTGATTGGTTAATTGTTATGAATATATTACTCTTAGGAAACTACAACTTTTATTCTATGCCAAGAGATACAGTTCTGCTTAATCCCAGACTATAATTTATAGCAATTCCTTCAGTGAAACAACTATGAATGATGCAAACTTTGCTTTTCTATAACTTATTGAAGATTGTGCTACAATTCTCCCTAATAGTTTCTAATAAGAAATCTTGATTTTCCAGCTTCATGTTAGGTTCCTATGATGATGATGATGGTGCTCAGCTGTATATGATAGATCCATCAGGAGTTTCATATGTAAGTATTTTGAACTACATCTGTTTAAATGAAAACCAAGATTATCCATGAGCTTAATGAAATGGAAGCAATTAGAAGATCACAGGAAAGCATATTAATTCATGGAGGCAAGTGTGAATAGCTAAATCTAACAGTAAACAAAATTTTGAGAACTGTATAATAACTGTAGAGAATCTAAAATCATAAGCTGGTAATGAAATGCTGATAGTTTTTATTACAAGTGTGTTCATGGTAAAACCACATAGGCACTTTACAGGAAAAGTGCAAATTTATTCAGATTTAAACCCATTGGCCAGTCATAACCTTAATTCTGAATATCAGGTAAGTGATTTGTTCACAATTCCTACTTACTGCCTTTATTTTATAATAAATAGGCAGAAAGGATAAATGTTTTTGCTCATTATGCTAGAAGTTACTTTATAACTGGAAAAAAGAAGCAAAAAATCTGCAGATTCAATTTCTACCTCCATCTCTTGCCTCAAATGTTTGTGTTCTATAGTAGTGGTTCTACTGTTGGATCACTATCATCTGAATTGTTATATTGTTAAAGGCAGCTTCTAAATAAAGATCAGCAAACTGATAGTTTTTTATTAGATTAACTTATCAATTTGGAGATGGTATAAAAAGACTGTTTTGAGAAATCACATAATTTACATGTGTGTTTTTATGAAAATATAATTGTGTCTGCCATTTTTAAACAATCTAAATGTGTTTGTTTCAGCGATTACTTTCCTTGAATATAGCCCTTTTATTTATTTTTTATTTTTGCAGGGTTACTGGGGATGTGCTATTGGTAAAGCAAGACAGGCTGCAAAGACAGAGATTGAAAAGCTTCAGGTAAGACTATATTATGGCACATTACATACTAAAAGCATTTCTTGCTCTTCTGTACAAATGTGTGATATTAACTGGAAATCTATATGGAAATGCTTCTGATTTTCCAGAGTTCTTCAGTCCTTTTGACAAGGTAAAAGCAATTAAAATATTGACTTGCAATAACAGAGTTATCAGTTCTAGCTAGACTCCATTTAAGTATTGCCATTCTTGTAGCATATTAATATAAATCATTGAATGAATCTACCTTTGCACCCTTTGTCTTATTTCAATCTTATGGGAACAAAATCTCACTTAAAAAGTTGTCCTTGATCATTGCACAATTAAACTAAAACAAATAAACGTAAAGGTGAGCAATGGGATAACTTTGGTAATAGTTACAACATGAAACTTTAGTGCTTTGCAAACTTTTTCCTGTGTCACTCACACTTTGTAAGAAGATATGGTTTTCTTTTGTACAGCTTGAATTCATTTCCAACCACTTTTCATTTACAGATAAGAGTGAAAGCTTCTGTTTCTAAATTGAAATTGCTATTCCTTACACTCATTCAAAGAAACCAGGATCACACTGTACAGTTCTTAGAAGCACATGTATAAATTTTTAGTTTGAATTATTTTCTGTTCAGCCTGAGTCTACTTTAGACTAAAATAAATGGAAAACTAAGATTCGTACCACTTCCCATTTAATATACATGCCATAGAAAAACATAGAAACAGAAAACTGATAGCAGAAAAAGACCCAGTGGTCCATCAAGGCGGCTCCTTAAGGTTTTTGTTTTCTTTTTAATTATTATTTTTGAATTTTATTTTTTGTTGGATGGTGGACATGTGTTTATCCCAAACTCAGTTACTGATGATTGAGCTACTACCTCCACTGGAAGTTGGTATCAAGCTTCCACTATTCTTTTCGTGAAATAATACTTTTTAACATTACGTTTTAACTTCCCTCCTGTTGGATTGAGGTTAAGCAGCAACTGGGAATACTGGGTTTGTTGTTGCTAAGCAATGTAGTCATACTTTATGACTGTATCACTTAACAGTGGCAATCCTGGACCTATTTGCAGTTGTAAGTCAAAGACTACCTGTAATAGGATAGATGAGCTATATCCTCCCTATATTTGTTTCCAGATCTTTCTCTGGAGCTTCCCAATTTGGTTCTCCAATCCGATCCAGACATGGTAGAATTATATTTTACATGTAGACATATCAAAACTTACATTTTTTTAAAAAAGTCTTATCTCAAGATGTTGATATTACCTCAGGAATTGTTAGATGAACCAAAAACTCTCCAAACCGCAATGCATTAATTATATTCATACACATATTTTGAGGCTATTTATGCTCTTCAAATTCACTATTGTTTTTCAATAGTATTTAACAATTAGTAAAATTCTAATACCTCCACAGATGAAAGAAATGACATGCCGTGATGCTGTTAAAGAAGTTGCAAAAATGTAAGTTTTTTTAAAAGTGACTTTCATGCCAGTTTTTAGGTTGAAACAAAAAACATTACAGATAATCCTTGATTTATGTAATGAGTCTGCCCTCATGTTTATAAGTCAGACTTAATTGTACATTTTTCTTTGAGGCAGTTAAGTGAATGTCATGGTCATTAAGCAAACCAATGATTTACGAAGGGTGTGCTTTTTCTGAAAACCAGTAGTAAATGCTGAGTTTTGGCAGAACTGTCGTAAAACGCAATCACATTACCGTAGGACATTGCAAATGTCTGTAAATGTGGCCTGGCATCAAGTACCCGAAGTTTAGTCATGTGTCTGTGAGGGTGTGAAGACTGTCACAATTTGGAATCCAGTCATAACTAGCTCTCGTACTTTTGAAGAGTTGTAATTCAAGGACTACCTGTACTTTTATTTTGATCTAATACCCAAAGAAAGTGCTTGCATGAGAATATTTTGTTTTTTTGACAATGGGGCAGGAGATCCCACAGTTTAAATAAATTAGACACTCTGTTTAAATGAGATCAGAGGCTCTTAAGACATCAAATTGGAATGGGCCAAAAAATTCATGTCTGCAGCTTTTTATTCTTGGTTTATCCCAAAAATATATGAATTTTTACACTATTTAAAATCTGAGAATACACTGTACATAAATATGGGTAAAACATTTTAATACATCTCATTCTACTTGAAGTAACAATTTTCTAATTTTTTCCCTTCTAGAATCTACATAGTCCATGATGAAGTAAAGGATAAAGCCTTCGAACTTGAACTAAGTTGGGTTGGAGAAAGTAATTATCACATTTTTCAAAAAAATATTTTCTTAACTCTCTTGCTCTAAACTTATTTTATATTAATCTTTATGATAGATCATTGTTTGAGGTATACAACTGACACAATGTTTAAAGAAAATATTGCTGAATTGAATTTTATTCTCCAATTATACACTGTTTTAACTTTTTTTAAACTTACAGTAACTAAAGGAAAACATGAAATTGTGCCCAAAGATGTTAAAGAAGAAGCAGAGAAATACGCTAAGGTAACACTGGGAACTTTGGAGCAAATGAAACTGGCTTTTAAATTAATACAATTCCATATATTTTCCCACGATTGTCAAGATATTTTCAAATAGTTCAGGAATCAAAATTATGCAGTTAATGATGAAAAGATTTAAATAAATACTACTCAGATCCCAAGACTCAAAATGATTCATAACAATTTTAAAACAGAATCCAGAACACTTCTCCACCACCTTAAAAAAACATTAATATTAGAATGTATCTTTTTTCAAACACTAGCAGCCTGGCAACTTTATGAAACAAAATGATGCTGGGATATCTCCTGGAAAAGATATGCCAAAAAATTAGTGCTATCACTGGGAAGGAATTTTTATTAAATCTTATTTCAATATTATGGGAGAAAAAAAGTATATTTCTGATGTAATGTTGACTATTAGACAATGTATAAAAACACCAGAAAAAAATACACAGCGAAAGGCTGCTCTTGAATTTTTACCTACATTAATCCAATATGTCTACATCAAACAATTTGCATTTCACTATCTGAAAATCTGATTTTTATGTTTATTTTTTTTTTTTTTTTACAAAGTAGAATAATTAAGGTCTGATTTTATTTTCTTAACAGGAATCTTTGAAAGAAGAGGATGAATCAGATGATGAAAACATGTAACATTTTTATTTTAATTCATTTTGTAATCTGTACTACAGACCTGCTTATGTATTTGCCATTACGTATGTGCTAGACAATATTTTAATGGCCAACTTGCACTAAACCATTTTCCAATTACTGTTTAGAGGGTGTGTTTTTTTGAGCGATTGGTCCAAGAATTTATTAAAGGAAAACTAGAAGGGATGAGATATGATAGATTTGAACATTCTTTTACAGACAAGATTTTATTCCTACACATGCACACCTAGTGTGTTTCAAAGCATTGCAAATTCTGCTTACATGATACCAAGTTTAAGGACAAGATATTTGACATATTTGATTAGAATCCATGGAAACATCAGGTTGCTATATGGATCTACTTTGCTAACATATTTTGCTTGCATAACATTCTAGGCTGTGATTCTGGCAAGTGTTAGACAAAATTGGAAGCAACAACAGGAGATGAAGAGTTATCTTCCATCCCAATTTACTTAACCCATCATTGTCTGGGAACTTTCTGGAGGGGAACCTGTCCTTTCAATCCTTAATGGGTGATACATGGGAAATAGCATTTCAAGTCATACTTAATGTATTCAGGTATGCCCTGACTGCTTTTCCTGTTGTGATAATACAGTCAGAGGTATTAGGCAGGATACCTGTGTGACAATACTTTAAAACAAATCCTGAAGTACTTATACTAATTACTGAATGAATGTGACTAAGATGAAATATTTGCCCAAAGTATTATACTTTTATAGCTTTAAATGAGAATGTAAAGGAAACATGTTAAATATATAAGCTTTGACTATTTTTTAAAATGTTGTCAGTTTGTAGCTACAGAATAGAAATAGCTTCCCCAGTAGGATTTTATCAGGCATGCCTTCAATTATCACCATTTAGTTGACATAATCTATTCTGGAATACTGGAATATGACAAGAGATGGGAAAACAGTATTTACAAATTTAGATAATGGATAGTGCCATTTTCTTCCATTAAACTTTCAGTTAAAACATTGCTTGGGAAAAACGTTCAAAAGAAGAAAAAAAACCTTAAATGTTTTACTCAGTACTTTTCCAGTGAATTTGTGTAGCACATAAAAGCTTTCACATTTTTTAAAAAGTTTCCAGGACTTTTCTAATGGATTTTAGTTGCATTATATATTTGCTGGCTGTTCATGTACTGGGCAGCTTTTGCCAATACGTTAATAATATGGGCCAATTAAATAATTTAAATCCTTGTACTTCCTTTAGTGCAGGGATCCCCAACCTTTTTGACGCCGCGGCCCGGTTCCGACATCAGCTGGGCGCCGCGGCCCGGTACCGGCGTCAACTGGGCGCCGCCATCTTTTTATGACGAAAAGGCGCTTCCGGTGAGCTTTCTACCCGGAAAAGCTCACCAGAAGCGCTTTTTTACCAAAAAAAAGATGGCGGCGCCCAGCAACCAGCGGCCCGGTAAGGCTTGTTCCGCGGCCCGGTATCGGTCCGCGGACTTGGGGACCCCTGCTTTAGTGAATCCATATATATTACTGTCCTCTCTACTTGCCACGAATAGTACTCCAAATAACCTGGTTTTGTTTAGAAATTATTTTTAACTGCCCAACATATTTGAATATTCAGAGTATAATGTTGGACAGTTAAATTGTTTCAATAATTATTCAAAGGCAAATGTCCTACCTTAAAATAAAGTATGTATTTTGCACTTAATTTCTATGCAGGCCACATTGTCTCACTTGTTTGCCATTGTAGATTATCACCCAGGGGTTAGAGTTATAAAAAAAAAACAACACCCCTTCTTCCTTGACAAAGCCAGAAACTAGTCCTCCTGTTCTCAGGCTGAGTAGCACCTCTAAGTTGCCATATCACCAGTAGCTGTAAACTGCTATAATTAGGTCTTCATGATTAGAATTAAGCAGACATGAATAGTCAATAGACTACAAAGACTTTAGGATAAAAAATACTTCCCTATGTAGAAAAACACATTGTACCCTATGGTGTTTCAATAGCTAGGTTCACAGATTATGTACATGCAGCTTTTATACTTATTTTTAAAAAATCAGTTTTTCCCAAATAGTAAAAGTAATTTGCACAAAAGCAATGGAAAGGAATAGAAGTCATTTACATACTTGTACAAATGGCTTGTACTTGGCTTTGGAAAAAACTACACAAATTGTGTAAGCCAAAACAAAAATACAACAGTGTCTTCATAAAGCACTAATACTGCAATTTGTATATCTTTGATAATCCCACAGTAATAATATTCTTCTCTGCTTAAGTTTATTACAGTCTTGAAGGCTGTAAATTTACATATAAATTTACATAATTCTAGCAGAAATTTCTCATTTGTGATCTCATAAAACAGCTTAGAATTTAGGATTCCTATTGCTTCAAGCCTTGAAAGATATTGCCTTACTCTTCAGATTGAATCTGAATCATAGACATGTTTCTATTTAATGAAAATGTAAGGCTACAAATAAACATGTCAACAATTTTTTTGGCATACTTAAGAGAAAGGCATACAAGACATTTCATGTCATAAAACAAGTCATTGTAATGTCACTGGGTGAAGTCTTGGGAAGCAAATACTTCAAAAGTATACTTAAGAATTTGCTTCTGAAATTGGATGCCAAGTCTCATGGAGCTGTAAAACAATATATAGTTTTTTTCCCCTCACCAAATCAGCATATTTTTATTATTGCATCTGCTAACATTTCGACCTTGCGTCACCAGCTCTCTGAAGACACCCCACCCCCATAGGCGGTAGAAAACCTGAGCTTGAACCTGTTTGATAGAATGAACACCCAGTTATTACAATGGGCTCTCAGTGCCTCCACTGTTGTGGTAGACTCCGCACTTCCATGACCTGCACAGGAGGGTCGTCTTTGAACCCGAAGGACGCCATCCAGGCTTCCACAAAACGCCACTTTCTTCAAACGGCACTCGGGAGACCTTCCTACCGAAGGGAGCACAAGCTCCGCCCCTCTCCCAACGGCGCTTGCGCCAATCCGGACGTCATACTCTGCTTCCACTTGGGTGCTCCGCCCCTCCCCCGTAGTACTGTCCGCGGCCTACGAACCAGTTTTCTCTGTCATGGTCGTCACAATCTTTGCCTCCTCCCTCGTTGCTGCCATCGCGGAAGTCCGATGTTTTCCACCTGAAAGCGAAGATCCCAGGGCCTCCCTTACCGGAGCTCACCGTGCCGACTCTCAAAGAGGCTTCGTGGCCACACAGCTTAGGCAGCTTTCACGCAGTAGTCTTACCTCCTTTTTCCGGTCCCCTCCCTTCCCCTCAGTTTTAAGACGTGACTGAGCGGCGCATAAAATGGCGCCGGCGAAGAGGACGGTAAAGGAAAATACCCTCCCCCCCCCGCCAAAAACGCATGCGCATCAGGAGTGCGACGTCTTCGTTCGTCACCGCTGTTCCCTAGTTTCACCCCGCCCCTTTCCGTTTTCACGAAAAACCAACAAACCAATCAAGTTCCATTCCTCCCCCTTTATTTTCGTCGCAGCTTCCGGCCCCGCCGGGCTTCCACCAATCCAAGCGTCCGGGGCTTCCCATCCGGATGTTTTAAAAAAAAAAACCTCGCTTGTTTCCAATCAAAGGCAAAGGAACGAAGGAGGGATCGGTGGAAGCTTTGACTTCACTCCCTTTTAAAGTCCGGGCTTCCAACAAGGCTTGGCTGCTCTACTATTTAAGCCAATGAGAAGTCGCTTCCCCTTTCGCTCTCTCTTTAAAAAAAAAAAAGCCTGCCCGTTCGCCCAATCGTCTTCCCAGAGAAGCTCTTCCGCAGTCCAATGAAAGGCGGGAGGCACGCGAAGCACCCAATGAGGGAGGGGCAAGCCCCCCTCCAGCGTCAAGCGTGCGGAGGGGGGCGCGCGAGGGGAGGAGCCAATGAGAGGCCGCGCAGCGCCCCTACTCCTCAACAGCTTGTTATTTGGGTGGTGAGAGCGGCGCTGGGCTGAAAGAGTGATACTCGGTCCGTCTGTGAGTGGGAGCCGCCGAGCCCGGGCTGCTGAGGGGGCGGAGGAAGAAGAGAAGGCGGAGCAAGGCGGGACAGCCCCTATTGCTGCTGCCGCTGCTGCTGCTGCTGTCGTCGTCGTCGCCGTCGCCCTCCTCCTCCTCCTCCTCCTCCTTGGCCGCTGCTGTCGCGGCTTGTGCCTGGTGGGGGTCGGACGGTGCCTTCGGCCGGGCTGCCCGCGCTCTACGCCGGGCAAGGAGAGCTGCCGCCGTGGACTGCACTCAGCAGTGAGTTTAAGAGGGGCTTGCAAGCGGGGGGGGGAGGGGACTGGGAGTGAAGCCGTGGAGTTGAGAGGGGGCCGGGCCGGGAACCCGTCCTCAGTCCGGGGGCGGCCAAGGAGACGGACTCGCAATTATTCAGGGAAAGGGAAGGTTGGGATGCAATCCTCTTCCTCGGCTTGGAAGGTTGGCTGGGGGTGGGGGGTCAACCGCGAGGGACGGGTGGTGAAATGTGAGGGGGGGGGCGTGATTTATGCTTTTGCCCTTTTTGGGAATAAACTAGTCCGGTCTTTCTCTTTCCTCACTTAGAAGATGGTCCGGGTGGGATGTTGCTTCTCTCCGCTGCCTCCCTCTTCGGACCACTTACCCAGGCTAGCCTCGCTTGGTTGTGGGGGCTGGCTTGGCTTTCTTTGCAGGTTTCGTTCCCTCCACCTTCGTCTGTCGTATTAGCCGGATTTCTTCCCTTCCTCTTAAGTCTCAGTTTTACTCACCTACTTAGCCCTTCTTCCACTCCTTCCTCTTTCAGCTCGGGCCTTCTTCTCACCCCACCATTTACAGTCAGAAAGTGGGACGAGTGGCTTCCATGAGTTGTTTTGGGGGGGGGGCAGGAGAGGCCTCAAGGGTGAACTGAAGGAGTTGTTTGTTGGGATCCTGTTATACAGGATGCTGAGTTTTTGTGGTTCGAGGAAGAGACAGGGGTTTGTGGGATGGGGGAATATTTCCTTCTGTGGTGAGAACAGAATAAAGTAAGAACAAATGTACTGTGATGGAAGAAGAGATATACTTTTTGAAAATGGCACGTGAAATTGATGTTTTATATTAAAAAGCCCAGACCACTAGACAACACCATATGGGGAACTGGTGAGAAAGGCCTTGAATCATGTGAGGGAGGCTGCTGCTACCAGAAAGGAATGAGATACTTTTTAAAGTGCTTAAATTATTACCACACATTGAGAGAAGGCAGTACTTTGAGAGGCTGCTGCAGTCCCATGTACACATGACAATAACTCCTACTTCATATATACTTTTGACTAAATATGATTAGAAATAGTGTGAAAGTCTACCTGTATAGTAGACTGGCCCATGACCTTAATTTTTATTTGCATAGCTAATATCTTGGTTTCAGATTCAGACATGGACAATGACAGATCCAGATTGCAATTGTTCACCTTTACCTGAGAAATCTCTTGATGTGATTTATATTTTGCATGTATATGGAGTTCCTTTATTTTCCTAACAGGTTGCAAAGAAAGAGGGAGCAACAGTGGTGAGTGATACAAAGGAAGTAGAGATGAGCAAGAGGAAACTAAGGCTGAATGTAGTAGCATCCATTCCTCTTCTAAGAGAACTGAAAAAGACCTTCCTGATTCTTTACAGCCCATTTTTCTTATTTTTCAAATGCAAGCTATGCTGACATGAACATTCTAGACTTTTAGGGATTGCTGTTTATAACACCAAAAGTCAGTGTTTTTAATGACTGACTCCAGTTTTCATAGGTGATTCTCTTATTCAGATGTCACTGATCTTTCTTTGAAGTTGATGAATCTGATAACAGTAATCTTTTCCCCTTTGCTTCCAGATTTTCTTCAACTGTGGTACACATAACGCTTTGAGCTGGAATCCCTCAAATAACCTTCAAATATGAAGGTAAATCTCCATGTCTGTTTTGGAGTGTGTGAAAGCTTTCCCTGTCTTACCTTTTCCTCCTTATTTGCTACTTGAGGATGTAATATTTTGCTTACTTTAAAAACAAAAATATGAAAAGGATGTAATTGTGTTCCATACACATCCTGAGTTACTGTGGCAACAACTGAGCTGTCAAAACTTGCAAAATCAGGTAGTAGTCTCTTTCATATTGGACACTGAGTTTTTTCTCTGAAGTTTGTTCTCAGAAATTACTAGATAAGTTGTATCTGGGAAAATGAGTCCTAAAACTTGGAGGACAAAGCTTCCCCTTTGTAAGATAAAAAAATAATTAAAGGAAATGTTCGCATTTGACTAAAGCAATGAGAATTTAAGAATGCAGAAACATGCTGGACTTTGGTTCATTGCACTAGTTTTTCTGTATTTCTGCATTCATCTTCAAAATGTTCAAATTTTGCTGTATTTACAAATTACACATTTAGTAATTTAAAAAGTAGCAGGGCTGAACTTTTAATCATTTATCAAGTTTGTATAGCTGTCTGTCTCATACATATGACTGGGCAGCTTACAATGTTAAAATTGTGTTTTTATTGATACAATACAAAAATAAAAAATATATAACAAAAACTATTAAAAACAATTAAAACTATTTTTTTAAAAACCCAAAGTAGTCGCCAAGAGAACACAGTTAATTTCACCAAGATTACAGCCAGTTTGCAAGCTCTACACCATATTTATGTTATCCACAGGCCAAATTACAAAGCCATGTTTTCAGTTCTTTCAGAATGCCAAATAATGTCAAAGCCAATCTGCTATAGATTATTTGCTTACAGAAGTAGAAAAATAATTTCTACAATATGTTGAAAATGGACTTTTCCTGTTGGGTTGGAGAGAGAAGTAAGACTGTTTATGTTGTAGGTGTGGAGTCAATATCATTCAACATATACAGTTGAAGATGTCAGGTATATAGGTTTTCCCAAAGTGAAAATAGTATTCAGTGTTTATGATTTCTGGCAGAATATTTGTTATTGTAGTATAAATGTTAACTATTGTTTTTTAACAGTATGCTATTCATTCGTTATACATGTTTTAATGACTTCCATCCTGATTGTAGGATCAAGCCTGCAGTCCAGTGCAAATTTACTTAAGCAAATTAGTCTTAAGAAGTGGGGCTTTCTTTTGTATGAGCTAGTAGCATATTTAACATTTCATTACAAATTATGACATAGGTAGTAGTACTGTGTGCTTTGTTTGAGAGATATAAACTTTTGTTTTTAAAAAGATAATTTAGGTCTTTTGATGTGCTCTGTCACTTATGACAAAACTGGAGTGACAGTTCTGAAATCTGAGAAGCATATCTAAACTTTTTTGTCAGTTCAGCTTTTTTAATTGATTTTTCTACTTTTTCTTCAGGCAGCAGATGAGCCTGCCTACCTAACAGTGGGAACTGATGTCAGTGCCAAATATCGGGGTGCTTTCTGTGAGGCAAAAATTAAGACAGTGAAAAGGCTAGTGAAAGTTAAGGTAAGAAGAAATGCTAACAAGAGTTTAAAGACCATTAAGGAACATTCTAATCTTCTTTGTGCAAATTCTGGCAATAAATTTGTCTAGATCTCTCTTGTCTAGTTTAACTGCCATTAGTTTTTCATGGCAGCCAGGTTTTCACATAATTTTCTCTGAAAAACTATTAATCAAACATACAAATAATATGCCCTCATAATTATTGACCTAAGGAAAGACCATCCATGCAGATACAGGTTTACCAAGATATAGGATAGCTCATTACATTTCTGTGGCATGAATTGTCACTTCCTTCCTATACCTCAGTTAATAAATTAATAATTCAATACTTTGAGTATTGAATTTTCCCCTATAGCATTTTCTGACAATTAGACTGAAGCTGACTATTGATATTTAATATTAATTTATGTTTGTTATAAAGAATTAGAAAACTTTGTAAAACACATTAGTTACCTTGAAATTATACATGTATTTCCATATGTATTATAAACATTATGCAGATTCAGAACTCCTAGTTTGTTAATGCGTACAATTGATGCTATCTACAATTTTTCTCAAAGAATGGAAGGCCCAGTTGTTTTACTTGTTCAGTCATTTCATAGGAAAGAATATCTGAATTAATAGTCCACGTGTATTAAATATGAGGTTTTTAAAGATGGTCTGCTAAAATTTTACCTGATTTAGATTTATTTTAGATTAAAATTTTATGCTCGTATTCCTTTAAGTCAGCCTTGTTGAATTCACTAACATTACTTTTGATAGAGACTTATAGTTTGCTCTGTTAGTTTGGCAAAAAATTTGTGGGATACAGTACAGCTGAACTGACAAATTTTGGTTAAGAATGTAACATGCTTTCTCACTTATTTGATAGGCATTCTTATAAGAGTGAAGTGTGTTTTCCCTAATTTGATAGTTTGGCAAACTATTAGATACAACCTACTCATAAACTGTTTAAGCTCCAATGTTACATGGAAGTTTATTTTGTTCATAAATTGACATGCACTCTTATTTGTAAGGAAATTCTAAGTTGCACACTAGTAAAGATGGGTACAGTCTGGTTTTTCTTTCCATGCATTCCTTAAATAGATCTATGTACTTGAAATCTCCTATTGAAAAAAATGAAATTATTTTCAGTCACTTTAGCCTGCAGTGATGGTCATTTTCCCTTTCTTCATTGGTAATGTCCTGTGATCAGATTTCTGCTTTAGACTGGGTTTCAGCAAGTTTAAATTATGCACATAATTTTTAAATATTGTACAAGTATAATTCTTTGAAATTTCTTTCAAAATATTTA